TAAGACTCCGGTCTGCACTTGCTCTTTGAGTTTTGTCTGTGCTGGGCAGCAGCTACCTGCACCTGATGTGACACAGAAGCAAAATACAAACCTCCTAGTGGAGAGGAGGGGGAGAAAGGAGGGTGAACTACTTTCCCAGGGAGCTTTCTCCTTGGCTCTCTCCCTGGCTATTGTCTTTAGGACTGCAGCTGTGGCAGCTCCTGCAGAAGGAGGGTCAAATGTTGAATAGCTGTAAATCAGAGGACCCCTCACAGCTTTTCTTGCCCTGTCAGGGAATCACTCAGAGCAGAAAAGTGGCAGTGAATCCTTAAGGACTGCATGTTCTTTGCTAATGCTGCCTCGTTATTGCTCTGAAGCACTTGCAGCCCAGGGAGCAGTTCTCTTGCTTCCCAATTCTCCAGAAGGAAAGGAAACGCACAGCAGATCCCCTGTCCTCTTCTGCACCTCCAGTGTTATTCACATTACTTGACATTTTGCAAGATGCATAGTTGGGCCACATTATGTAGTCCCCAGCGGATGAGACCGTAGGAGGCTGTAAGAAGGTCATGAAGAGTGTAAAAGGTTTGCAGAAAACTTAAAATATCTGCCCTACAATGCACACTCACAACACTTGGCTTTCATGAGCTAGTGGGCACTTATCTCTGGAAGGAGGAGATAAGGAAAGAAATCTCTTAATGTGAAATATGTCTGGGGTAAAAGGGCCACTAATGTAACATTCCTTCCAGAAAACTTGTGGAAGGCCAGAGAGCTCCCACTGTCTGGAGCCAGCAGACAGCATTAAGAATTTCACAGCAAATACTTTGCTTGGCTTTATTTTTGACAGTCAGTGTAATAGGTAAAAAGCCATTAAAGGATTTTTAATATCCTGAAAGGGTGCAACCAAATGAACAATGAGGAAATCAGATACAGTCAACCTGTTGAATTCTGTCACAAAAAATGTAAATATAGTAAGTATAGGAAGAGGCAAAGTGAATTTATGGTGTACATCAGAACCACATCTAAAAGATGCCTAAAATGGGCCACTTCTTAAACCTTAAATGTCCCTTAAGAAAAGCTAGTACACTAAAGGGAGCTCTTGCAAGCTTTACATTAGGAACATGCATGATCTCTTTAAGACTTCGTTCAGGTGTCTCACATTAAATTATCTAGTGCGTTAATCAAGCAACATGATACCAAATATTTATATTCCTTTAGGCCAAAACCTCAGCTGCTGTAGCACTGTCTTATCCCCATTGACTCAAGGCAAGTTGGCACTGGAGCCCTCTCCAGATCTGCACTTCATGCTCAGTATGTAGCTTCTGTACAGTGGTTGTTCATCTACCGTGCTCCAAGTAACTGTGCTGTATGTCTCAAGCTATTCTCAGAAAATACTAGTAATATTGTGAAATTATGTGATTTGCATGTGCTGTGCAAGGCAGTGCTTTGTAGTTGTTGAATAGAAGCCTTTGAATAGACAATGAAACCAATGGTCCTGGGAGCTGCCCTTACAGCCAAATGGGCAGAGTGAAAGTTAACAGGTGGGTCTAGAGCCTCAGTAACTGTGCTGGTAACCTGCCCCACTACAACAAGGGCTGGGGTGGTAGTGGAAGGACTCTAAAGCCATGGGGTATATGCAGGAGGATTTTCCAGCTGCAGACACTGTGTAAGAAGTCCCAAAGGCTGCCTTCAAAAACCGTAGTCTCTTGTGACATCTGGTGTGAACGTGCTGAAAGAGCAGCTCTCTGGGGCAGCCAGGCTGCGGTATGGCCCAGGCAGCCATCTTTCTGCGCACAGCTGGGATTTTCATTGTCCCAGCATTGCCCAGTCCAGGGGCTTTGCAGCCTGCAGGTCTCATCTTTCTGGGAACAGGGCACTGTGAGGCTTGCAGAGACTGAGATCCTTCCCCACAGACCATACGTGACATCCATTTATCACATGATTATACTCTATTACATTGTATTTCAAAATCCCCATTATTTTGTAGAGAGCACATGATTCTGCTGTCGGGTTTCTGCATAGGACAAGGTTTCTCCAGCATTTTCTTAGCGTTTGTTGGTGGTTCCCCAATGGTGTCACAACAGTTAACACAGTGTCATAATGCATTTTCTGAGACCAGTGTTATCAGTGTGAAGAATTCAGGCTGAGAAAGAAAAGTCAATACTGAAAACTATCATGTAAACAATTTACATTTCTGTTTGTTTGGGGTTTTTTCATTAGTATGCTCACAGTTTGAACAGGGAGTTATTTGGAGACTAAATGATGCAAAAAAAGATCGCAATATAAAGTACTTGTTTAGAGACTTTCAAATAATGAATTTCTAAAACTAGCATTTAGCCTGGGAACAGACCTAAGGACTCTGGCCTTTCATTTCAAAACAGCAAACTCACCAGCTACTGTCTAATTTTTCCTAATTGCTAAATAAATTGGACTCTAAGCGAGGTAATTAATCCTAGGGGACTCACATAAGCTTTGCATAAAGTACAGCTGGAGTTTTACAAAGGTTGCTAATACAAATCAGTTGGTGAAATGTGACAAAAGCATCAAGCATCCTGTGATTTTCTGGAAAAACAAACAAAAGGTAGCAGCACACATGGGTTATAAACATGTGTATTCCTGCTCAGTATTCCAACCAGACATTCAACTCAGGGGCTGTACTAAATCTAAGAGTATGTAACTGACATTAATGTTCAAGAGGACACTAGACTCGCTTACACAAAGAGTTAGGTATATTTTTCTAATACATGAAATCATGATTTGTGGTACTAGAGGAAGGTGACTTTTGGATGGAGTTTGGCAAATATGTGCACATAGGAGTAATCCCACCATACTCAGCTGTTCCGTTGGTCACTTGGGCCATGGAAAAGCCCTCAGAAGGAGAGAGCAGAAAGGTGTTTGACTTCATTAATGGGTTATGTCATCATGTTACTTTGTCTTACCACTTTTTTCTGCTTCCTTACTGAGTGTATCACTTCCTGGCTTGGGAAAAGGGGCAAAGCATCTGAAGGAGCAGCAGAGCAGGCTGTCGGCAACCATAGTGATGCTCTGCAAAGATGGTTGTCCACACTGTTGGAACAGCAGACA